AATTAATATTGCTGTTTAGTGTATAAGGCAGATTAAAAATCAATTTTATATCTACAGCAGTACAAATTTAAATTACTAATTTATGAACTATACAGAATAAGCACTTTTCAAGAATCGGCCAAACATTTGTGTTGGAAACATGTAGCTTGAGTGAAAGCGTGGCTTTCAACCTACCGCCTCTCAGGGCCTTGACTGACTTGTGCCGTATGATGAGCTAGCATAGTAGAAGTCTGCATGGTGAAGTCCTTTTGATCCATGAACACAGCTTTTCTTTAGTTAGTTATTCAGTTATTTTATTGTATTTGTTTTATTGATTGATTGATGAATGAGTTCCATGCCCAATGTGGGGCTTTGAACTTACAACCCTGAGAACAGAGTCTCACACTCTGTTGACTGAGGCTCCCCCTTATGATCAGATCTTTTAAAAATATTTGTATTTTTGAAAATTAAGGTAAAATCTTAAAATTAACCATTTATTTATTATTTTTTTTAAATACCTTAAAAAAAATTTTTTTAACGTTTATTTATTACTGAGAGACAGAGGGACACAGAGTATGAACAGGGGAGGGGTAGAGAGAGGGGGAGACACAGAATCTGAAACAGGCTCCAGGCTCTGAGCTGTCAGCACAGAGCCGGACGCGGGGCTCGAACTCACAAACTGTGAGATCATGACCTGAGCCGAAGTCGGTTGCCCAACCGAGCCACCCAGGCGCCCCTTAAAATTAACCATTTAAAAAAATGTTTATTTATTTTGAGAGAGGAGAGAGGAGAGAGAGAATGAATCCCAAGCAGGTTCTATGCTGTCAGCGTAGAGCCAAATGCGGGGCTCGAACTCACAAGCCATGAGATCATGACCTGAGCTGAAATCAAGAGTCACATGCTTAATCAACTGAGCTACCCAGGCACCCCTAGAATTCACCATTTTAGAGTGAATAATTTAGCCAGTGTTGTACCACCATCCTCTCCAGTTCCAAAGCATTTTCATCACCCCAAAAGGAGTTCCGTACCCATTAAGCAGTCACTTCCTAGTCCCCTGTCTTCCTCCCAGCGTCTGACAACCACCAGCCTGCTTTCTCTCTCTGTGGATTTACCTATTGTGAACATTTTACGTAAGTGAAATCTTACAACAGGAGACCCTTTGTGTCTGACTTACTTCACCATGGTCAAATTTTCTCTCATAATTTGAAGATTCGGATTTTCATCTTTGTTAAACCACAGGCAGTGCTTCTCGCTTGACAGTGTTCTGGTGAATTCTTTCACTTCCTGTTTTAAAATTTGTGATAATGTACCTAGTATCACAGCCGGTTCATTAATCTTCCTTTATCGTAAATTATAGTATTAGTTTTCCTTTTAATTTGGGGTATCGCAGTTTTACTCACTGATACACTCTGATAACTCTCCCCCTTGATGAGATTTGTTCTGTTTTCCAATACTTGACCAGGGTGTATTTCTGAACATGGAAACACCTTTGGAAAATCTGAAACCGTGATTTTGCTCCTCACTCCTTGGGAGGTTTACTGTTCTTTTGCTATTGGGTATGACCTGTGCAGGACTTGAGAAATCACATCATCTGTTTGCTAACCACGAACAAATGAATGACTCTGGGCCCAGACTCCTCAGTAGCCAGTAACATCAGGATGTGATCTGCATCATGAATATGACCTGAGTAGAAGGAGCTGGAAAAGGTTGTCTGTACATGTGTGCGCATGAGAAGACTGGGTACAACTATATTGAGAAGTTAACCTATTTTTTCAAATGTTTATTTATTTTGGGGGTGGGGGAGAGAGAGAGAGAGAACGAGTTGGGGGAGGGACAGAGAAAGAGGGAAACAGAGGATCCGAAGCAGGCTCCGCACTGACAGCACGATCATGACCTGAGCCGAAGTTGGACACCCGACTGACTGAGCCACCCAGGCGCCCCGAGAAGTTTAAATTTAAAAGAACATCTTGGCTATATCTGATTTTTCTGGTTCATTTTTCCAAAAATAACAGTTCACGAATGTCACTAGCATTGCCATTAGATTTATAATGTGATTCATGTCTGAATGTATGGAAAGCTTTTTTCCATCTTGGGAAAGTATGGTCAACTTATTTTGGGGGGGCTCTTTAATATCATCATTGTGTGATACTATAATTTTTTTAAAAGTTTTATTTTGGGGGGGGTAGAGCACGAATGGGGGAGGGGCAGAGCGAGAGAGGGACACAGAATCCGAAGCAGGCTCCAGGCTCTGAGCCGTCAGCACAGAGTCCAGTGCGGGGCTCGAACCCACAAGCTGCGAGATCATGACCTGAGCCGAAGTTGGACGCTTAATCAACTGAGTCACTCAGGCGCCCCTTCATTGTGTATATATTAAGCACTTGATTGTGTTTGGTACTTGACTCTCTCTGTATCAGCCGTACAGACTTAAGGCAAATGTATTATACATGGAAGGTGTTTTGAAAAATAAAACCTTGAACAGATGTTCAGTATGCCGCATTCTGCAGCCACGGAGGTGGTCTCGTGACGGGTGTCACTATCCGGAGACATGCCTTGCGGTCTTCTGCAGTATTGTGTATTTGTTAGCCCGCGAGCCGGTTCTGGAACGGGGTGGTCAGGGGTACGTACTGTTTGGTTTTGTAAAGGTCGGCTGCACTTCAGGGTGTCTTACTGCGCGATGGGGGAGCCCACCGTGCCAGTTGTCTTTTTCCTGCCTTAAAACAAACACTACCTCCTCGCCGACTCCGTGTACTTGTGCTGAGTGATTTCTCAGCAGACGCTGTCTGACGAAGGGCGAGTTGCTGCTTGTCTACCTTGGAAAAGCCTAGTGGGTTGGATTTGTCTGAGCGTCAGATGGGAGCGGTGGCAGCCGTCCCTTGCACGGCGCTTGTGGGGGGATCAAGTGAGTCAGAGCCTCAGGGCTTGTTAGAAATCATTGGGAGGTACTGGGCCCCCACCTCCAGCACCGTGTAGATTTGTGAGCCTTTCTGTCCGGTCTGGCCCGCATTTCGTAGTCCGTTGTGCTGGTTGAGAGGGTTGAGTTTATTCCCAGCGCGTGTTAGGGGGTCGAGACTCACGTGTTGAGTATCTGCATGGTGCCAGGAGTTACTTCACAGACACCGGCGAACAAGTGTATTCCCTCCTTTAATCCTGTCGGCAGTCCTGTCGGGTGGGTGGTATGTCGTGTCTGTAATTGCAGCGAAATAACTGCGTCGCACGACGTCAGGCGACAAGCCAGCACGGAGAGCGGGGGTCAGCTCGGTGCTGGCCCCTCACCGCTACCCATTGCCGCCCCCTCTGGCCCTCGGGAGGCATGTGGACTTGATGCCCTTGGCACTGGCTGGCTTTCTCTGAAAATGGAGCAGTTTCTCTTTACCCTGCCCATGAACTTTCCTTTGAAATGGAAAACGAGGAAAGGTTAACCTCAGTTCTGTCTGAAGTATGATTCCTGTCCCCTTCCAAACCTCGTTCAAATGATTTTTTTCTTCTCTTCTGTTAATATGCTGCTAATCACGTAGGCCGGGGTCACTCAGACCTTTCGCTCCTCCCCCTCCCGTCCGATGATGCCTCTGTTATCTTTGCGATTAACCCCTCCTCTCTAGTTGTACTGCTCACTTGTTCCCATGACCTGCCTTCCTGCAGTGAAGATGTTGGTCTTTCTGCCAGTGGTGTTCTTTCCCTCCCCGATGAACGCTGCGCTACCCTTACCTTCCCAGGTGACGCTCAGCCTGTCACTTCCCTCCTCGGAAAAAGCTGGTTGCTCTTTTCCCTTTCAGGAACAGGAAATGACCCTCTTCCGCACTTCACGTTGTTGAAGGTTGGGCCCCAAACTTTTTCTTGGCTTACAGGTGTTTCTGGGCAGTGATTTTAAATATGAGCTGTGCAGTTTGTGAATTCATTATTCTTCATTAATTCGTGCGTAGGATTCAGGTGACTTCAAATTCTCTGATACCTTTTGCGTTTTGGAGATTTTTTTTGAAGCCAGGGCGCTTTCATGTTGGAGTATCATTTAGATATGAAAAATAAACTTATGCGATTGGGTGTCTGTATATATTTGTCCTACATCTCTTCCAGCGGGGTCATAAGTAGACTTGAAGTGTGACAGCTGTGGAAACAGGATTGTTGCTTGATCTCAGAATTCTGCTATAGGACAAAACTGGCGTCATCGTCATCACCTTTTCTGAGATGTTGTAAGGGGTCGTTTGCATTTCGAGGACTCTATGTGACTTTCCTTCTTAGTTTATTGATATCAGATAGAATTTATTCAAGCACCTTGATGAGAACATATGTGATTATAGAATCTTAAAAAGAGCTTAATCATAGCCTTCTCAGGCTGGAGCTACCAAGAGAGAATCTAGAGAAGCACTGGGAATCGGTTAGGCAGTCTGGTTAATTTGATCAGCACTGGGTTGCGGCTTGCTTTTACAGTATCTTTGAAGGAAGAGTTTTATGAAGCAAATTAAGAGAATAACTGTGCCTTTATGAATACATTTCAGTTGACAAAAATGTTTTAAAATTGGCTGTATCAGTAGATTTTTTAAAAGGATTTTTTTAAACAGAGACTTCTAATTTGAACACCTGAGTTAGTTCCTGTTGGTTTACATTATTGAGGTTTTTGTTGTGTTATTGAAATCCTGTTTTTACTGTGTCTTAAAAGATACACACAAACGGATGCACAGGACTTAATTTTTAATAGAACTTATTTCTATTAAACAGCACCTGCGGAACCTTCCCAAGAGGAACAGTCGTTGCTATGCGAAGGTAATTTTCTATGCTATGACCCTTCGAATGCTTAATGGAGAAAACATTAAGTTGTCTCTGTGTAAAGCCTAGGTATTGTTTCGTAAATGTATTATATCTCACTTTCTTGTCTAGGTTCAAATTCAGCTGTTAGCATGGAACTTTCAGAACCTGTTGGTAAGAAAATTTCTGACTGTATTAATACAGTAATATGAAACCCTTTCACTCTCAAGATAGAAGGTACAAATGTAAGTGTTATGGTTATTGGAATGCCTACATTTAAACCTGACATTGAGTCTTGGCTGTTGGGATTTAGAAAGCACTAGCTGGACGTCAGCGCTGCCGCGATAAACCGAGCGACGGCAGATAGAGACGAGCGGAGGGCAAGAGTGCGAAAGTCAGTTTAAGGGCTTGGGCTTGTTCCATTTCCTTGGTGAAAGGTTTCCTTCCTTTTTGTCATTTGCTTGCTGTTAAGGGTGTCCTGTTCCCAAGGTGATTGATGAAGTTGATGCCAAAGTACTTGCAGAGGAAAAAGCAGAGATCTCGTAAATCCTGTGTTCTGATTTTAAACTTTGCTGCTTGCCCTCTGTCAGGGCATCCTGACCCTGGGACAACTGGGCTGTTAGGAATGGTACATCTCCTGTTTACATCTTGTGTGGCCTCATGGAAATGAAGCTTCGTGAGGATGGCAATCGCCCATAGTCTCTGTGTCAGCTCTGATACCAGAGTGGGGCCGGGCTTGAAAGCCATAATCCATTTCTGTTGTGAAAGATTTTCTTGCTTATGTTCCACTAGACATTAGGAAATGGAACTAAATATGCAAAATATGTTAGTTGTTTGAAGGCATCTGTGTTTTAGAGTACAGACTGTGATTCTTTTTCAGAGTACTAAGTTAAGTGTCTTATTTCAGTAGAAAATGGGGAGACAGAAATGTCCCCAGAAGAATCATGGGAGCACAAAGAAGAAATAAGTGACGCAGAGCCAGGGGGTGGTTCCTTGGGAGATGGGAGACCCCCAGAGGAGAGCGCCCAAGAAATGATGGAGGAGGAAGAGGAAATACCAAAACCTAAATCCGTGGTTGCACCGCCAGGGGCTCCTAAAAAAGAACACGTAAACGTAGTATTCATTGGGCACGTAGGTAAGTTGCACTCATAGCGGTGAAAGAAATGACCCGTCATTGGGGTACATCAAACAGCTACTTGGAGATGTTTAGTGAAACTGAACTGAATTAATCTGAAAGGTTTCTGATTTTTAACTCGATAGGTTTTTTTTAAGCTGGCAAAAAATTGCCAATGCTTTGATTTTGAAGGTGGGACAGAGAAATAATTTTGTGATGGCACAGAAGCAGGAAGAAAATTAGCTTCAGTATATTTGTATGTGATCCACACTGATGGCAGCTAAACATCTTAAGACATTTATGAATTAATATCCTAGATAATGTGCTTCCTTTTTGGGGTGACTTCAGTTAATTTGTTTATTTTATGGGCTTCATCTAACCTAGATAGTTTCATTTTGTCTGACCTAGGAAATTAATTTGTTGTGACTTCTATATGCTTGTCAAGTTGCTGGTTAGCACAAAACAAAACCCTGTTTAACAGACTCACACATTCCCTGACCATCTGACTTATCCCCCAAATTGTGAGAAAACACAGAATTATGTGTTCTTTTTTCCTTCCCTTTGTCTCTGCTTCCTCCTGAATATAATGCTATACTACACTATTTTAGTAGCAAGGACTCCCTCTGAAATTTATAAAGGAATGCCTGTATTTGCTAAAATTAGGGAAAGGCACACGACCTAAATGTAGTTCATAGCTCTTCGGGTGCTTTCGCTCTCCCCTGAGGATGCCCTTGGGTAATTGATATTCTGTTGCTGCTGTGCTCTTAGCTGAAGGTCAGAGAGCAGTCTGTTCAAGAATCTTCTTTATCAGTAAAGTAGTTCTCCATTCTTCTCTACCACGAGTACGAGTTCGTCATTGTTGAGCTGGGAGGGGTCTTAGCAGCTTCTTTTGCAACGACATCATGTAATTGTATGTGCTAAGTGGTACCTTTAGTTGTATTAGTGTATATAGTGGGTTTTGTTTTATTTTTTTGTACACCCGTGGTTTGCCTATTATTGATGATGTTGTTACTTTCAGATGCTGGCAAGTCAACCATTGGAGGACAGATAATGTAAGTCTGTATTTTTTGTTAAATAATAGAGTTAATTTGACTGAATAAATTTTGGGCATTGTGAACATACAGTCATACAAACGAAGTCAAACAGGTCACCTGAAAAAGTTACAAAGACATTACCTGTAAGGAAAGCTGATGTTAATTAAGAAGGAATTTCTGCAGTGTGATCAGTTAGTATTTTCTACATTTTTTTTAATGTTTATTTATATTTGAGAGAGATACAGACATAGCTTGAGCTGGGGAGGGGCAGACAGACGCAGACAGTCTGAAGCAGGCTTCAGGCTCCAAGCTGCAAGCTGTCAGCACAGAGCCCAGCTCGCGGCCCGAACCCATGAGCAGTGAGATCATGACCTGAGCCGAAGTCGACCATTTAACTGACTGGGCCACTCAGGTGTCCCAATCGTTAGTATTTTCTGATGGATTTTAGGCATTCCCTAGAATTCTTTTATCACTGTCCCACTCTCATAGAACATTAACTAAGTGTGTTTCTGAATGCTGTCTTTCACATTTTTTAAAATAAAAACTAAAATAGAACCCTAGATTATAGGCAGTCTTAGTTTGCTTTGAATATCATTTTCTTGGGAATAATGAAAACCAGCACTTAAATCGGGTACTTGGGCAGGGGGATCTCATTTTTCCATATTCATCAGCTCTTAAATCCTAGGTGGATTAATCAACTCACAGGTAGTCTGGCTCACATGCTAAGATAGCTTTTTATCATATGTAGAAGCTATGTAAGTATGCAAACATCATGGTTGACCTTTACAATATATTCTAGTATTGAAAATTTTATTTTTAAAGTTTATTCATTTTGAGAGAGAGAGAGAGAGAGAGAGAGCACACAAGTGGGGAAGGGGCAAACAGAGGAGAGAGAGAATCCTAAGCAGGTTCTGTGCTGTCAGTGCAGAGCCTGACATGGGGCTCTCTCTGACTAACCTGGATCGCATGACGTGAGTCGAGACCAAGAGTTCAGACACTTAACTGATTGAGCCACCCAGGCACCCCTGAAAAATTGTTTTAAGTAACAGGTCTTAGAATTTGGGGGCACCTGGCTGGCTCTGTTGGTGGAGCATGTGACTCCTTTTTTTTTTTTTTTTTTTTTTTTTTTTTTTTTTTTTTTTTTTTTTTTTTTTTTTTTTTTTTAGAGCATTTGATTCTTGAACTCAGGGTTTGGGATAGAGATTATTATTGTTGTTGTTTTTAATTATATTAAAATTTTTTTTAATGTTTATTCATTTTTGAGAGGAGACAGAGTGTGAGCCGAGGAAGGAGAGGCAGAGAGAGACACAGAATCCGAAGCAGGATCCAGGCTCTGAGCTGTCAGCACAGAGCCCAATGAGGGGCTCTAACCCACAGACTATGAGATCATGACCTGAGCTGAAGTCGGACGCTTTACCGACTGAGCCACCCAGGTGCCCCCCGTTTTTCAAAAAGGTTTTACAGTTTTAATCCCTCCTACATTAGACCCCTTTTCTTTAAACCGTGTCATCCATCAGAGGATCTCAAGGGCATATCTTCATTATTTAGTAATCTTATTGGTAATCTTGGCCAACTTCTGAAAATGTCTACAACACGCCTTAAAATAGGGTAATAAAGAGATCCTTCCATCAGTGGATGGAAGTGTTGGGCCCGTTTGATTTTGTGTCTTAGGAGAATGTATATTTCTTGCTTATGGGCTGTAATTTTCACGGGTATTTCACTAGGCTTCTGTGCTCAACTGGTTAGGAGCGTGCACTGTAGATGACTGCAGAGAACACAGAGATGAGAGCTCAGAGGAAGGCTTTGGTTTGGATTGAGTCCAGGGAAGCAGTTCAGTATTACTAAGGAATTGTTTTAAAATTATAATCTTACTTTGACAATATTTTTAAGTATTGAATGTTGAAATGTATTAATAAGACTGAATTGCCTGAGCAACACTGTTAGAATTATTTTCTTTTATGTAGTATTTCTATTTGCCCTTGAAAAAATGTTTATTCTGAAATAAGTTTAGACTTAGAAGTTTACAAAGGAATAGTACCGAGTTCCCATATAACTTTCTTTCAGCCTGCCCTACGTGAACATTGTTAAATAACCATGGTACAGTTGTTAAACTTGGAAGTTCGCATTGGTATAATAATCCTATTAACTAAACTCTGGCTCTTGAATTTTACCGGTTTCTCCACACATGGCGTTTTTCGGTTCTAGAATTCCACGTTGCATTTAGTTGTTCTGTCCTCCAGTTTCCCATCTTTGTCTCCTCCAGCTTGTGACATTGCCTCATTCTGTCTCCCATGACTTCATCATTTGAAGGGTGCTGTTTAGGACGGTCTTCAGTATGGGTTCAACTGATACTTTTTCACATTTAGATTGTGGCCGTACATTTGGGCAAGAATCTCACACGGGATGTTGTGCTCTTCTCAGCATCCTGTCGAGGGTGCCTCATGTCAGTATTCAATGGGTTTTCTTTTTTTAATTTTGTTTTATTCTTTTTTTTTT